TTTAGAATACTGGTGCATATTTTATTAAAGAAGAGAATAAAGCATTTGCAAATATATTTCTCTCATGTATACTTCAAAGGTGACTCTGGTCAGCTGCTACAGAACTGGAGAAGTGAACAGGCCCGAACTCCTCCTCTACCCTATATGACAGAGACACACAGAGGGCCTGGAGGTGCCCAGCCCCAAGGGACGAAAGGTTCCGAGTTGCATGAACAGAAGGATCCAGATGACAGCAGGCATCACAGTGCCACCTGGAGCAAGGTCGAGTCTCCAGGAATGTCGGACATGCTTGGTAAGAAAGAGGTAAGGCATGGCGGTTCCCACTGGGGTCCCAGCACAGAGGCCAGAGTCACTGCCTCTCACTGGATTGTATGGCTCCTTTGATTTTGAGAAGGGTGGCAGAAGGAACCAGAAGCCCTGAAGGGCTGCTGAGGGCAAGCTGGGGACCTGGGCATCTCTAAGATGAATCTGGACTTCCTGAAGTTTTAGATTAAAATATTGAACCCTTGATCCAGGTTGGACCTCAAAAGTCCCCCCATAAAGGTGGGAGGTAAAGAGCAGACATTCTGTAGGAACGTGGCAAAGGAGGAATTTCTTTCTCAACTTAAAATACTTAACATGGAGTAAAGATCTTACAGTCCCTGGTGAAGGATGGGGCGGACGCTGGGACCTGGACTGGTGAAGCTCACACAGGACGTTCTGGAGGCTGCAGATGTGAACGGTCCCAGAGCTGGCCTGAGGAAGGGAGGAGTGAATGAGACATCATGGTCCCTGAGATGGGGGCAGGTGCAGAGAAGGGAAGGGAAGCAGAAGTGGCAGGACTCCCACCATCCCTGCTCTGGGCTTTCTGCCCAGAAGGTATTTCCAGGGTTGGAACTCTGAGAGGAAACGGACACTACCCAGGTATGGCTGCTGAGGGGCTCTCTCTTCTTGCAATCAGATTGGCTACAGAACTGTGGCGAGCTGAAGGTCTTTGCCAGGGCTGGAGGGGTACACTCGGGCTTGGCTAACGCTTCCTGCTCTGCAGTGTGGAAGCTAGCGATTTCGGCCCTGCTCAGAACTCCGGGAGTGGTACAGCTAGGGGGATGACAGTCATGGCTGGCAGAAAGCAGTGACTGGTCGAGGAGACCCCAGCACCAGCCATGGCTGGCTCTGAGATCCCCTTTCAAGTGTTTCCAGTTGTGGCAAGGCTCAAGGAGACCTTGCATTGCAAATCTCTCAGGAAAACAACTTTGGAGTGGGGGGAGGGGGAAGTCAGCTAAACAAGAAAGGCCTGCAGAAGACTGGCCACAGAGGGGGAAGCTGAGGGCTGAGAAGCCCCCAGGGTCAGTGGGGGGAGGGTGTTTGGCTTTTAAACCGAGCTGTGCCTTCAAGCTGAAGCAAAGTGGTCAAGGGCAGCAGGACAGGTGAACCAGGCCACCAACAGGAAATATGCTGTGTCCCCAGATCAGAGAGGCCTCCCTGCTCATTCGCCAGCCACTGGTCAGGATATATTACTGCGAAAAGGGCTCTCTTACTTGCCAAGAGGCTGCCACCGAGGCACGAGGGACCCCCCTTGGCAGGGAGGCAGGGGGAGGCTGCAGGCCTAGAGAGGGGTCACTTGCTGCTGGGCGTCTTTACTTTGGTGGCATTGATGTCTGCCTTGGTCTTCTGAATCCTGGCAAAGATCTCTTTGAAGAGCGCCTTGTACTCGGGCTGGCTCTGCTCCAGCCGCTTATCCACGGCCTCCACGTGCTGGCTTAGGCTTTTCTCACCCACCTTGCCCTCTCCCAGGCCCTCCTCGCCCCCCAGTAGGTCCCTCCATGAGCTGTCCCGGGAGATGGGCCGCGAGGTCTGCACCCCCGCGTGCCGCACCCCGGCACCATGCTGCCGGCATTTGCTCAGCAGCTCCTCGTATTTCTCCAGCAGCGCGTGGTACTGCTCATCCACCTCCCTCAGGATAGACATACCGCGGCTGCGCACACTATTGGCATGAAGCGTGAGGTTGCCAGCATGGCGGCTGGCTGGGTCTTTGGCCACGATGGCATTGAGTGCTGTGTCACTGCAGCTTTTGCGTACTGCATGGCTGGGGGAGGCTGCAGGCGAGGCGACACCATCCTGGGCGTTGGAATCATCCCCGATGCCTGGCTGGGGGTCATCAGCTTCAGGGGCCTGAGTGAGGGGCGCCAGCAAAGCCTCAGCCAGGTGCTCATCACGGGCCAGCAGGTAGGTCTTGGCCTGCTTCATCTGCTGCAGCTCCAGCAGCTCGGCCTCTAGCTCCTGCACGCGCAGGCGGCAGCCCTCCATCTCACACAGCTGTCGCTCCAGCTCCGTGTACTCCTGGAGTACCACTGTGTACTCGCGCTCTGCCCGCTCCTTGCGCTGTCGCTCCTGGCTCACCTGGGAACGCAGCACCCCCACCAAGGTCTGCAGCCGTTCGTTCTCCTGCTCCAGGGGCCGAGGGCCCAGCTCTAGCGAGGAACTGTGCAGGCGGAAGGCATCCTCACACCTGCTGGGGGACAGGCAGAGGTAGTTAGTCATGGTCACTCCCCCCTCACAGCTGCTGGGAGAAAGGCAGAGGTAGTTAGTCATGGTCAGGCTCCGAACCAAAGTGTCAGGCACTGGGTTCTCTTGTCCACCTGTCTAACTCTTCCTTTTGCCCCTCTGAGTGACCATCCACCCCTCTGACTTTCTCTCCTGGCTGGGAATGCTGACCTATATGGATTCCTCCAGAATTCTTCAGCAAAGGAAGACACAAGGGAAGGTTAAATGTGGGAACAAAGGAGACCTCCAAGTTGCGGGCTGGTGCTGGCCAGCCAGACCTCTTCATACCTTCTAGATCCTGTACTCTCTCTTCCTCTAGACCCTGATGCCTAGGGACGGTAGTGGCCCTGTTCTGTTGTTTCAACACACACTTCTTCTGCTTTAACTTTTTTTTTCAAGGCAGGGTTTCTCTGTGCAATAGCCCTGGCTGTCCTGGAACTCACTCTGTAGACCAGGCTGGCCTTGAACTCACAAAGATCTGCCTGCCTCTGCCTCCCAAGTGCTGGGATTAAAGGTGTGTGCCACCACCGCCCCAGTTGTTTTTTTAAAATGAGATCTTATACAGCCCAGTTGGACCTGAGGATGCTCGTGACATCTTGAAGCTCCTGTCTCCACCTTGTGAATGTTGGGATTACAAGTGTGCTCCACCACTCCGTTAGGACGTGTGGGGATCAAACTCAAGGGCTTGTGAATGTTAGCTACAGTCTTCCAAATGAGCCCCATCTCCAGCCTCACCTTGATCTTCTTCATTAACCTTTCTCCTAGGCTAGGGATTGAACCCAGGGTAACACACATTCTAGGCAAGTGCCTGGCGACATCCCCAATCCTGTATATAAGTAGTTGTTGAATTAAGATTTAACGGGAACCAAAAGGTTCAACACTTAACTCCTCCTAGGTTGGAAGCCTGGCTGTGCCGAGTACTAAACACATGACCTTTTCTCATCTGACTTGTACACAAAATAAATGTGATGATTGTTCGGTTAGCATAGCAATGCCCATGGCTGTCCTTAGCAAGCAAGCATCCTGATGGCTTGGACCAGACCCAGTCCTCCTCCCCAGCTACTGTCCACCGTGCTCCTTCATTCCTCAGCTGGAACTCTCGGAAGGCTGAGACACACCGGGGCCCTTGCCTACCGGGGGCTCGTGCACAGCTCTTTCAGGCAGGGGAAGGTATGGATGGTTCTCCTGCGCTCCCTCTTTTCTCGGCGAACCCGAAGTTGCTCCAGGCCTCGCAGCTGCTCCACCTGGGCTTGCAGTTCCTCGACCTGGGACTGCAGGCGCTCAATGGTCTCTGTCAACCTGGGATAGGATGAAGGCAACCAGGAGAGACATCTTTTTGTTGTTCCTTTCAAAGATTGTTAGGGCTGGAGAGAGGGCTCAGTCATTAAAAGCTGGCTCACAACCAAAAACATGGAGATTGATTTTGTATGCAGGTGCCTGAGGAGGCCAAAAGGGGGCGTTGGATCCCCTGGAACTGGGACAGGGTGGCTGTGAGCCACTCACTGTGAGTGCTGGGAACCAAACCCTGGTTCTAGAGTAGCAAACACTCTCAACCTTTTGGCCATTTCTCAAGCCCCATCTGGGGGAAGTCTTAAGGAGACGGGACGCCGCCTCACTGCCGTTTGTAGATGGAAGACATGGAGTTAAGGACAGACAGACAATCTTGAGCACACTGTCTGGAGTTAGAGTCTGAGAACTCTCTGCCATATCCAAGGACCTGCCCTTCTATACATCGTAGGGAGAGCCAATCACTTCTCCTCAGGCACCTTTAGTCCCTATGTATCTGTACATGTGTGCATGTTCATGTGTGTGTGGATACATGTGGAGGCCGGAGGATGACCTTGGGTATCACACCTTCACAAGCTAGCCACCTTGTTGTTTGAGACTGGCTCCCACTAGAACCCAGGGATCCTTGATTCAGCCAGGGTGGGACCCAGCCATCACCAGCTCCCCAGTTTTAGATTACGAATGCACGCTATTGTCTTTTACATTTTACACATGTGCCAGGACTTGAACTCAGGTGCTCACGCCTGTGCGACCAGGACATTTCCCCAACCCCACTTCCGGTTCCTGCATCACCACCACCACCCCACCACCCCGCCCCTCTGTCACCACCACCATACACTGCAGTGACATTTACATCTCTGCCTCCCTTCCCATGTGCAAGGTCCCAGAGGGCAGGTCAGAGTCACCGAATCTTTAGTGCCTCAAACTGAGCCTGGTGTGTAATTGGCAAATAAGCACAGGTGGGAGGTTATCTTCTGGAATACGGGTGACTTTTCATCCATCGCTTGTGAGGGGCTGGAGAGATGGCTCAGAGGTTAAAAGCACTTGCTGCTCTTGCAGAGGACCCGGGTTTAGTTCCCGCCACCCACACACATTGTGGCTCATGATCATCTGCAACTCTAGCTCCAGGGGATCCCGTACCCTCTCCTGGCCTCAGAGAGTATGGCTCACACACGGTGCACAGACACACATGCAGGCAAAACACCCACCCACACAGAATAAAAATAAATCATAAAAAGAAAGGACGGGCTGAGCAGTGGTGGCACACATGTTGAATCCCAGCACTCAAGAGGCAGAGGTGGGCCGATCTCTGTGAGTTCAAGGGCAGCCTGCCCTACAAAGTGAGCTCCAGGACAACCAGAACTACACAGAGAAACCCTGTCTTGGTGAAATAACAAAAAAGGAGGAGGAGTAGGAGGAGAAGGAGGAAGAGGAGCAGGAAGAGGAGGGAGAGGAGGAAGAGAAGGAGGAAGAGGAGGAGAAGGAAGAGGAGCAGGAAGAGGAGGGAGAGGAGGAAGAGGAGGAGGAAGAGGAAGAGGAGGAGGAAGAGAAGAAGGAGGAGGAGGGAAGGGACTATAGTTTTTACAAGATGAATGTCTAAGCACACACCGCACACAGAGCACACAGAGTTGACAGGGATGGCCTTGCTACTAGCCCAGGCTCTTCAGCATCGTCTTCTAAGAATGTGTGAGTCTCCCTGTCAGCCCACGTGTTCAGTCCTGGGCCTGTCCCTCACCATCCCAGCCCTCACCCGTGGATCTTCTGCTGGGCAGCCTTACTCTCCAGCACCAGCCTCTGATTGGTCAGCTCCAGGTCTCGGGCTGTCAGGTCCAGCTGCTCGTACACTTTGGCATGCTGCTCATTCACCAGCCGCAGCGTGTCCAGCTGCTTGGTCAAGTACTAGGGGAGGAGGTAAGGGTGGAACAAACCTTTACAATGAGGTAGGGACAAAGATCTCTGCCTGGCCCCCCTACTACCGCTAAACCAATCGACTTTGAGATTCGTGCTCGCTGGAGCAGGGGGTGAAGACCACGGTGCAGTAGGCTGCTTGGGATGGGTGGGCAGGTGTGGATTAGGAAAGGAAAGCTGGGAGGCCTTTGGTGAGGTGCACAAAGGCACACACAGGCCCCAGCCAAAGGCTCTTGAGAAACGGGAGGAGCGGTGCAGAGCCTGGGGTCCCTCACCTCGATCTCCTGCACTTGCTCCTCATTGGTGGAATACATTTGTTGCAGGGACTCCTCCAGCTCCTTGTTCCTCTCCAGCAGAGTCTTCCCCAGCTCCGCCGCCAAGTGCAAGTCTGGGAGAAGGGAGGTGGAGCAAACAGAACACAGAGTGAGGACAGCAGACAGCCCTCGTCAATGCCCTAGCATTGATCTGCGGCTCGGCTCTTGGTGACTCGGTGTCACCAGCACACAGGCTATTCTCAGGAGCCCTAGTATGGCTAGAGATGGAAACCAGGAGCTGAGCGTCTGGGCTGGTGTCACTTCTATCTCTTCTTGTCCTTCGTATATCTGGTTTGGTTTCATTTGTACAGGATCTTACTGTGAAGCCCAGGCTAGCCTGAGGCTCAAGATCCTTCTGCCTCGGCTTCCTGAATGCTGGGATTGAGAATATGTGCTACCAACTAGCTTGGTCGTTCTTTCTGCTTGATGTAGAAAACAAATGAGTACAGAAAGGTGAAAAGCCAACAATTAAAAAAAATTAGTTGAGCTGTGTGGTGGGGCACACTTTTAGTTTTAGCACTCAGGAGGCAGAGGCAGGTGGGTCTCTGTGAGGCTGAGGCCAACCAGGGATACACACTGAAACCCTGTCTCAAAAGCAAAACAAAACAAAAACAAAACAAAAATCAGCGAGGGTCTGGAGAGGCCGCTCTGTACTCAAGAGCTCTCTGCTATTTTTACAGAGAACCAGAGTTTGGTCCCCTGCAAGCAATCACGATTGTCTGTAACTCTAGCCTCAGGGGATGGAGCAATCCTCTTCTAGCTTTCATGAGGGGCACCTGCACACACACACACACACACACACACACACCCTTAAAAAAATATTGTACCAGTGAGATAGCTCAGTGGGTAAAGGCAATTGCTGCTGAACCCGAATTCACTCCCCAGGACCTTCTGTAGGGTAAAAGAGACAACTGAGGCAGGAAACCAACCAATCACTGAGTGTCCTGACTCTGAACCCAGAGTCAGAGAAAGAAACACACCCTGGATTTAAGACCTGGGCCAGGGAGAGAAACGTCTTCATCCCTGAACCCAGGACTAAACGACAGGTGCCCTGGCTCTGAAACTAGTGCCAGAGAAACACACTTTGTCCCCAGAATGAGAGCCAGTGAAAGAAATATGCCCTGGCCCTAAGATTAGAGTAAAAAATCTAAAAAGGACCAGAGGAAGAAACACAGTTTGACCATGAAGTCAGAGCCATCTCTGGCCAGCTAAACTGACCAATCCCTGAGCAGGGAAAAGTTAACCAATCCCTGTTCTCCCTGGGAAAACTCCGCCCCTAAGAAGCCTTATATAAAGAGCTGAAGTTAAGCGGCAGAAACAGCCACTCTCCTGGACTCCTCCTTCCCAAATAAATCTCTTTCTCAAAAGAGTCTTGGGTGAAGACCTTCATTCGCCAGTGCAGAGGAGGAGGACCTGGCTGGGATGTCCCTTAGGGGACTGAGCTGAAAAACCTTGCTGAGATGCTCCCTAGGGGGCCTCCGCAAGGCTGTGGAGCAGAACAGAAGAACCTTGCTAGGAGCTCCTTAAGGGGCTGAGCAAGGCCAGGGAAGGATTGCCAGACTGCTACATTTCTGAAGGGGGCTTCCTCTTGCAGAGCATTAGCAGAAGAAACTTCTTGGGCAGGAGAAGAAGCTGACAGCTATGCTAGGACGCTCCCTTGAGGGAGCAGAGCAGAACTCAGCTGTAGCGGCTCTCCAGGAGAGGAGCAGGATCCCTACATCCTGCGGGGAGACCATCCCCCACCACACCCCAGCTTCAGGTAGCCTGGCTTCTCCATAGTCAGGACACCTTTCGTCCAGGGCTGAGCTGTCCTAGTGTGGCTCTACCCCTCCAGAGCTGTCCTAGTGTGGCTCTAAGTATATCCTGGCTTCCCAATAAGTCAGGATATCCCAACACCACTACTGCACCACATTCCCCTACACCTTCATGGTGGAAGAACAGAACCAACCCCTACAAGGTGCCCTCTGATCTGCACATGCATGCCTACACACACACACATGTATGCAACACACACAAAATGAAGCACAAATGCAAAGCACACTGTCTTTGTCTGCATCTGCCTTTCTCCTATAACAACATATCACGGCATGTTTCTGTGGGTAATGCACATATTATTACATGTATGCACACTATTAGTGGATGCAGAAGACGCTACTGTATATATAAAGTTCTAAACACCTTCGTTTAGACGATCCTTACTGTTGGGTGTTTAGAGCATCTTTGAGTATTTTCTCTATTAAAAGGGAAACTATGAGCCTAGTGTGTTGTGGGATATTTGTACACTGTGTAAAGATGTATTGCTGTGATTGATTTAACAAAGAGCTGAATGGCCAATAGCTAGGCAGGAGGTATAGGTGGGACTTCCAGGCAGAGAGAGGAAATAGGAGATAATCTAGATGCACAGGAGACACCAGAAGATGGGGGGTGGGGGGGAAGGGAGGAAGCAGGATGGGCAGTATGGTGATGAGGTGACAGGCCTCGTGGAAGAGTGTACACCAAAAAAATATGGGTTAATTTAAGTTATAAGAACTAGTTAGGAATAAGGCTGAGCTTTTATAATTAATAATAAGTCTCTGTGCCATTATTACTACTACACAGGTGTGGTGTGCATGCCTAACCCCAGGACTCAGGAAACTGAGGCAGGAGGATCAGGAGTTTGAGGCCAGTCTAAGTTACATGAGATTCTGTCTCAAAAAACAAAACAAACAAAAAAACCCAAAACAAAAAACAACAAAAGCTTGAAGCTATGCCATAGGCCCAAGACCCTAACTCCTCAGGAGGCTGAGGCAAGAGGACCACAAGTTTAAGGCCAGTTTGGGCAACTCAGACACTGTCTCCATGGTGGTGCATGCCTTTGATCCCAGCACTCAGGAGGCAGAGGCAGGTGGATCTCTGTGAGTTCGAGGTTAGCCCGGTTTACAGAGCTAGTTCCAGGACAACCAAGGTAGTTACACAGAGAAAACCCTGTCTCAAAAAACCAAAAAATTAAATCAAAGAGCCAGAACCTGGAAACAACCTAGATGCCCTTCAATGGAAGAATGGATGAAGAAAGTATGGAATATATACATATTAGAGTACTACTCAGCAGTAAAAAACAAGGACTTCTTGAATTTTGCATACAAATGGATGGAAATAGAAAACACTATCCTGAGTGAGGTAAGCCAGACCCAAAAAGAGGAACATGGGATGTACTCACTCATATTTGGTTTCTAGCCATAAACAAAAGACATTGAGCCTATAATTAGTGATCCTAGAGAAGCTAAATAAGGAGAACCCAAAGAAAAACATATAGGCATCCTCCTGAATATTAACCTTCATCAGGCGATGAAAGGAGACAGAGACCCACATTGGAGCACAGGACAGAAATCTCAAGGTCCAAATCAGGAGCAGAAGGAGAGAGAGCACGAGCAAGGAACTCAGGAACGCGAGGGGTGCACCCACACACTGAGACAATGGGGATGTTCTATCGGGAACTCACCAAGGCCAGCTGGCCTGGATCTGAAAAAGCCTGGGATAAAACCGGACTCGCTGAACATAGCGAACAATGAGGACTACCGAGAACTCAAGAACAATGGCAATGGGTTTTTGATCCTACTGCACGTACTGGCTTTGTGGGAGCCTAGGCAGTTTGGATGCTCACCTTACTAGACCTGGATGGAGGTGGGTGGTCCTTGGATTTCCCACAGGGTAGGGAACCCTGATTGCTCTTCGAGCTGATGAGGGAGGGGGACTTGATCGGGGGAGGGGGAGGGAAATGGGAGGCGGTGGCGGTGAAGAGACAGAAATCTTTAATAAATAAATAAATTAAAAAAAACCCAAAAAATAAATGAATAAAAAATGTAAGAGGAGGGTAAGCATTTGGGTTTGGTAGCTCATATCTGCAATCCTAGCATTTGAGAGGTTGAGGCAGGAGGATTGCATCAGGTTCCATGGCAGTCAGGACTAAAGGGTGAAACCTTGTCTTAAAAACTTAACACCCTTGCCAGGTGGTGGTAACACACACCTTTAATCCCAGCACTTGGGAGGCAGAGGCAGGCAGATCTCTGTGAGTGAGTTCCAGGACAGGCTCCAAAGCTACACAGAGAAACCCCATCTCGAAAAACCAAAACCAACCAACCAACCAACCAACCAAACAAACAAACAAAAACTCCCCAAAACTTAACACCTCAGATTTGGAGAGATAGCTTAGTGGTTAAGAGTACTGGACCTGAGTTCAGGTCCCAGCACCCACATGGCAGCTCTCAACAGTTGGCAACATGGCAACACTAGTCCCAAGGGATCCAATGTTGTCTTCTTGCTTCTTTGGGCACTAGGCACTCACATAGTACACATACATACATGTGAGCAAAACAATCATACACGAAAGTTTGTAATCTTTGTTAGCAATCACTAACAAACAGTAAAGGGGGGCTGGGGATGGAGTTCACTGCTAGAAGCAGTAGAGGGGCTGCCTGTGTGAGGATCTGGGTCCCTGTCTAGAACTGCAAAGTAAGAGTCAAACTAGGATTAACTCCACCGCATTAAAACCTTAGTGCAAATCACTACCTCTTGTGAGAACACATTCCTAGAAACAGAATTAGCGGGTGAACAGTAGGCCTGTCTAACCCATTTGGCCAGAAGCAGGAAAGCACTGATTATTTTATTATTTAACATTATGAGGCCGTTTGTTAGACCAACCTTCATTCTAGGCTGAGGGTGTAAATCTGGACCAAGATTTGTAGAAGCAGCTTTTCCGGGGCCAATAAGAACCAGTGCTATTTTTATACATAATGATAGCTCTGCCTTCCCCTTCTGGTCCTCCTGGAGTTTTAGATAGATGGCTGTTTTGGCTACACCCTCTGCAGTGCGGCAGACAGGCCCATGTGGGGTCTTCCTCTTGGACCCTTACGGAACAGGGACGTTGGATGGGTAGATAGTAGAGCGTCCTGCACTTTCTGCCTAGGACAGAACACCTAGGACAAGGTGTTTCCTTGTGAAAGCCAGAGTGGCCTGATCAGCCACGGGACCTAGACAAACGGCCAAGTCTGAGAAACAATATCGCTCCCACAATGAGGGTAAAGTTTTCTTATTTCTTTTGCTTTGTTTGAGACAGGGTTTCTCTGTTGCTTTGGAGCCTGTGCTCGAACTCATTTGGTAGACTGGAATGTCCTCGAACTCACGGAGATCCACCTGCCTCTGTGTCTCGAGTGCTGGGATTAAAGACTTGTGCCACCACTGTCCAGCTCTTCTTTCTTTCTTATCTTGTAGCTCAAACTTGCAATGTAGCTGGCCTTAACCTTCATCCCTCTGCCTCGACCTCCTAAGTGCTGGGATTGTTGGGATGTGCCACACTGTCTGGTCTTATGTGGAGTTGGGGAGCCAAACCCAGGGTTTCTTGCATGCTAGGCAAGCATTCTACCAACAGAGTTGCATCTCCAGCAACTTTCATTGTTGTTGTTTTGAGGTGGGGTCTCATGTAGTCAGGTTTTCCTTGGTATGAGGCCAAGGATGACTTTGAACTCCCGATCCCATCACCTCTGTCTCCCAAGTGGTAGGATATAGACACGCTCAGATCAGGGGTCTGGTTGAAATAGCCAGAATGGGGCCTCTACAGCTACATTAATTGGAGAGGGCTTTGTGTCCTGACGTCACTGGGGAAGCAGACCACAGAAGCTCCCCTCTAGCTAGGCTGTAATGACACTGTCTGGAACAAACAGTTTTCCCGATGGGAACAAAACTGAATCGTGTAAATCAGATACAAACCCCATAGCCTGGGGCAAGTAACTTGCCTAATGAAGATGCCAAAATGTCCAGTCACCTAATATAAACCTAATAAGGTATTTGAGGACACTTGGGCCAGAGTCTGGAGTTGTCTGCAAAATCTGAAGCCTGATGTTCCCATTGTTGGATGACAATCTTGTGATATATCATGTGCTTGGGGATAATGAGTGTGTGTGTGTGTGTGTGTGTGTGTGTGTGTGTGTGTATGATTGGTTACGGGAGAACCTCGCCATCTTCTTAGGCTGTAACAGGATGGCAGTGTTCAGTTCATCCCCTTCCCAAATGTTTCAGGCCTTGGAACTGTTAGGTGGTCTAGGAAGTGACCATTGCTATACCATATACATGCTCGGCCTGCAAGCAGACCCTGCAGCTTAACCAGAATTCAAGGCCAGAGAAATGAGGAAGGGCCAAGGGCAATTTCAATACCAGGCTCCTCCTTCCAGGCGAGCTGGGCTATGTGTGCAACTCCTTGCTATTTGTAGGCTGGGATTGGGATGGGGGCTATACCACACTATGAAGGGAGAGACGCTGAAGACTGCCCACAAAGACAGCGAATGTTACTTGGTCGCCCTAGTGATCCAGGGATGATGAAGGAAGATGGAAAGGAAGCTGCCTGGGGAGGATGGGGAGAATCTCAGACAGACTCAGGGAAACTGAATCACTTTGCAAGCTAAGCTGGTCAGAGCTGCCTGAAGGGATGACGGAAGGAGTCTAGAAGCTGCAGAGCCAGGGGCCTGGAGGAGGCAGCTTGCTGAAGGACAGTGGCAGTTCCGGACTCAGGGGAGGGTGGCCTGGGCACTTGGAAGCCAGCTAAGCAGGATGCGGACACAAGACAAGAAAGAGCTTGCTATGGCTGGATCAATAGGCAACTCTGAACCAAGCCAGGAAGGAACTGAGTCTGGGATGCCACCTCCCCTCCTGGCTCTAGGGGCCTTCTGGGGCTTCCTTCAGGGGACCTTAGTGGTTATATGTAACCCCAGAGAAAACAAAAGAGACCCAGAAATCCCACAGCCCCTATGGCTTGGCATCAGGACGGAGCATGGCAGACTCTTCACAGAGAGGCAGGAAATAGGCCAAGGTGGGCACAGGTAAAGGTGACTGAGGTGGAGCTGGGGGTCCTGCCCCACAGGTACGAAAGTCAGGAACTCCGGAAGGCCTTCGGGGGAAGCAGGGTGGAGATAAGCTGCCATTTTCCTAGCCACGTCAGAGCATCCCCTGGGGTGGAGAACTCAAGGCTAGGCAGGAAGGGGAGTCAGGTCAGAAAATCTGTGACTCAGCGGCCATCCGTCAGCCTGGACAGAGGTGGTCACAGGTGGAGGAGGGGGTGGGCAACGGAAGAGCCAGGGCTTGCTTAATAATTAATTCATGACTTTTCTTTTCTATTTTTACAGGTGCTCATGGCAACCAGTAGAGGGAACAGAGCAAATCTAAGACCTCACCTGTCCTGACCACCTCCTGCAGAGGGGCAGAGGCACACCAAAGTCAAACACCATCTCTAGGGACAATCTCTTTGGGAAGGGAAGTTGGGGCTTGGTCCAGGGTAGGGGGGAAAAACAGGCCGGAAGGCTACCTCATGGGTGGGTGGGAAAACCACTCCACGGGCCACCCAGCAGATGGGAAGGAAAGACTTTGGGATCAAGCCCAGAGAAGGGGACACAGACATGGGACCTCTGATGTGACTGTCTTTTGGCAGACACTCCTCCCCATCACTCAGCTCTCCTGGGCTGGCACGCAGATCTGAGTGGCCAGCACTTCCTTTGTCCCCTACTTGTCCTCCCCTTCCTTCCTCCACCCTCCGGCTCACATCTCTCCTTGCTGAGGGGACCAAGCTGTCATACATACTTTGATCCCTCTCCTCATCTCCTCGCTGGAATACAGGATCAGGACAGGGATTCTGTCCCTAGACCCAGCACAGCCTCCCCCACCCCCCCACTGGCAGGAAGGCCCACTTTCCTCAAACAGTGCTTCATTCCTCGGTATCCCCCTGGTTCCTGGGCTCTGCCTATGACTGGAGCTGCAGGCCAGACCAGCAGGACCCAAGAAGAGAGCGATACAGAGCTCTTCAGCCCCGCTGGAATGGCGATTCCGGTCCCTCACCAGAAGCCACACCATCTCCCGCCCCTACTCTCTGGCTCCTTCCTCCCACATCTGGGCTGGGCATGGTGCCAAGCCTTCATTAGGGGTGCGGGAACTAAATGAGATTGCCACAGTATTAGCATCTGCCTCCCCTAGAGGCTATCTTCCACAGAACTCTGCTTTTCATCTTTCCTTCTGAGCTAGCCTCTCCCAGGAAGTCATCTCATAATCACTGACACTCAGAACATACAAGTGGGCCTCCCCTACCAGCCCTCCTGTACCCGGAGGTCCGCGGCTAGGACCCTTCCAAGGTCCCAGGATGATGTCTGAAATTCAAATGAGGCCAACAGATGTTTCCAGAGAAGAAAAGTTTTAGGAGTAGTGGCCAGGACAGAGAAGAAGGTGCCACATAAACATGGGGCAGTTCATAGCACAGGGATGTCTAACCCATCGCCCTCCATCCTACACAGGTCTCCCAAGAGTCTGATTCACTGGCAAGAACAGAGACAGCTCCTGGTCTGCAGGTGAAGCCTGGCAGCAAGGGGAAGTGGGTCAGGAAACAAAGGCTCCAGGATGCGAGTGCATGCTTCCCATCCTGGCAAAACCAGAGCTCAGGGACCCTGAGGATGGAGACCAGGCCTCCAGGGCACACTGTCTGCTAGCCTTGGGTTTGAATAACTCAGGGCTTGCAGGTGACTGTGGGGAGGTCACTTTTCCCTTGATGCAGTTCCTCACTCCCTCAAGGTATCGGCAAGAACAGGCACCTTGGCAAAGAGGGTGGAGCAGACTCCACTCCAGCAGGCTTTGGCCTTGACCCTGACCCTCTCAGGCCTCCCCACCTCGGCCAAGACGACTCCATCTCTCTTCTTAGTGATGTCACTTTAGCCACTTCATCACCAGCTTCCAAACCCCTTTCAGGCATCCTCCCTCTTTCCTGGGGCTGTCGTTCGGCAGAACGTGTGAGGAAGCCTAGTGCCGCGAAGGACAACGGGATACTTTTCTCGGGAAGGCTGGTTGGAGACTCCACATAAGGCTTCTCCACAGTCAGGCTGCCCGCACCACTCTCTAGCTGGGCAGAGGAAAGCCAGGTGGGGAAACTTTCTCTAGGTCTTAGAGCTCAGAAATTCTGGCCGGGACGAGTGCTGCTGATCTGGGGAGATGACATCTCAACACAGAGTACTCCCAGCCAAAGTACCAGGAATTCCCTGCGGCCACCTAGTTTCCGGGCCCCCTAACAAAACCCTACCAGGGACAACCGAGTAGTCGCTGCTACTAAGACGAGAAGGGTGATGGATGCCCCGTCAACTACACACTTTTGCAGGTCTCGGGTCTATCGCGTCCGAATCTTCCAGGGCAGCGCCCCTCTCGGTCCACGTCCCCATTCTCAAGACTCATGCTCTGTTTGGTGCACCAGGTCCAGCCCAGCCCTTTTCTAGGTGATACCGCCCAACAATGGAGTAGCGGCCAGGGGTCTCGGGGCACACGCCACTTCCTTTCCCACCGTGCTCACCCTGCTCCAGGTCCTGATGATCGTACCAGGACTCCTCCTCCTCTGCGGAGTAGTCCTCCATCCCCGCCGCTCTCCGCATGGCCCCGCGGGTGGCGGTGGGCGGGCGCTGCGGCAGCTCAGGGCCTGGGCTCGCAGCCCGGGACAATGCGGCGGAGGCGGTCCGGGCTTCCCACGTCGCGGGCTCGGGCTGCAGCGCCCCTTCGCCCACCTCGCGCGGCCGCCATCCGCTACCGGCCGTGCGCACAGCGGGGCCTCTCGCTCCCGCGCGCCCTGGGTCCCGTCGAGCTGGGGACGTCGGGTGTCGGCGGCACAAAGGGCGGAGGGGTGGGGACTGCAAAGCGGGACGACGGCTGGGACGACCCGGGACCGCCTGCAGGGCTGCGGCGTCAGGAGAGTGTGGGTGCCACGGCGGATACCCCCTGCTCGCCTCTGGCCCGCACACCACCCGGCCCGCGCCGCGACACCCGGAGCCGCCGCTGCATCTCCGCCCGGCCCGGCTTGCTGCTTCCCAGGCCGCCAGCTCTACGGGGTGGGGTCTGCCGCCGGAGGCCAATCATAAGGAGTATGCAAATAGGGGGCGGGGCCTCGGGTGAGGTCCTTCCTGGTGTCCTGGTCTGGGAATTGTTGGATCAACCCTATGTCCTTCTTTTTTCTCCACGTCCGACTTTTTTTTACGTCCGTCTGAAATTATTTTGTTTACTTATTGTTTGTCCTGGCTCATCCTGAGAGCAAGGGTCTGCCTGCTTTCCACAGCGGTCCTCACCGCGGGGAACGGGGTGACCTACGGATACATTCCATGAACTTCTTTAAAATGGTATTAATTTACAAGCACTTTAAGAGCCAGAAATAGGGATTTGGCTGCTGGAGAGAAGAATGGGGCTTAAGAACTCTTGCTGAGCATCTGAGTTCGGGTTTCCCGCACCGATGTCAAGCAGCTCACAAGAGCCTGTAACCCCAGCTGCCGGGGCAATCTGACCCCTCTGTTCTCTGGGTACCTGAAATCACGTGAACCTTCACAAGTACACAACACACATACCCAAGGTTAGAAAGAGGCTCCTCTGATAACAGTACTTGGGAAGCTGAAGAGGGGGGGTTGTCTTGAGTTCTAGACCAGCTGTTTCATACAGCCTGTTCCAGGCCAGACTAAGCTACAGTGTAGGAGTCTTTCTATAAACTAAGCAAAACTAAACATTACCTTAAGGGGACTGAGGAGGTGGCTCCGTACACTAAAAGTGCTTATCAGCTTAAAAAAAAAAAAAAGCAGAATGTTTGTCTCGTTCTTGTATTCCCAGCCCAGCTCTGGGGATGAGGAGCCAAGATAGATGGATCCATGGTGGCTCACTGGACAGACAACCTAGCCTACCTGATGAGCTTCAAGCCAGTGGAAGGCCCTGGTTCAAAAGACAAGGTGGACAGCTCCTGAGGAACACTTGGGGGTTGTCCTATGCCCTCAGCACACACGTGAATACACATGAACACACACACATGTACAACCCCCTCACAACACAGCCTTTAAGATCTTAATTTTGAGTTGGAGGTGGCTCAACAGTTTAGAGCACTTGTTGCTCTTATAGAGGTCCTGGGGGAATGGACCCATATGATGCTCCAGAAACCTCTGTAACTCTGGTTCCAGGGGATCCATTCTCCTCTTCTGACCTCCTTGGGTACCAGACATGTGCGTGATGTGGACACATGTGTGATGTAGACACATACGTACAGGCAGATACTCACACATATAAATATAGAATAAATAAATACAGACATATAACATCTTTTTTGGTGGGATGTTTGAGACAGGGCTTCTCTGTGTAGCCCTGTCCTTGTTCTTGGCTGTCCTGGAACTTGCTCTGTAGATGAGGCTGGCTTTGAACTCACAGAGATCTGCCTTCCTCTGGTTCCTGAGTGCTGGGATCAAAGGCGTCTGCCACTGCTGCCTGGTAGAAATATAACTCCTTTAAAAAAGAAGAACCGGAATGTTAAAAAACCTGTGTATCTAGAAACAAGCTGAAAGGAATGAAATTTGAGGATGTTTTCTTGTATTCTGGGCTTTCTCTTTAAGGTTCTGTTTCTTATTGTTTGAGACACAAACCTTATATCCAGTTACACCCTTGAAAGCAATGGTTTAATCCATCCAAGCATCTTTCCTTTAAAGGGCTTTCCTAATTCAAACATTCATACAACTTGTTTTTGTTGAGACCCATCATGTGTGGGCATTGTTGAAGCACTCTGAATAGATGTTATGATATACCCAGGAAACAACTGTATCCAGAATACAGAAAGACCTGAAAATCTGAGGAAAAGGGCATATGGCCAGGAGATAAGTGTATGAAAGACGAGACTAGACAATTTCCAGGAAGAAATATCCAAATAGCCCAGCCAACATGTGAATAAGGTATTCAGTTTCTCTCCTCTCCTCTCCTCTCCTCTCCTCTCCTCTCCTCTCCCCTCCCCTCCCCTACCCTCCCCTCCCCTCCCCTCCTCTTCTCTCTCTCTCTCTCTCTCTCTCTCCCCCTCTCTCTCTCTCTCCTGTCTGGGAATTCACTCTGTACACCAGCCTGGCTTTGAACTCACGGAGATCAGCCTGCCTCTGCCTCCCAAGTGCTGGAATTAAAGGCGTGGGGCACCACTTCCTAGCTTGGTACTCAGTGTCTTTAGTCACCAGGAAATGCAAATTAAATCCAAAATGAGATGCCACCATTACCATGTTCTTGGGACCTTAGCTTCCCCCAAGGTCCATGTGGGTTTGACTCCCAGAGTGGTGGTGGTAGAAGGTAAAAAAATATTTGAGAGATGGAACCTACTGTGAATATGCGTGCTTGTGTGTGTGTGTGTGTGTGTGTGTGTGTGTGTGTTCCAGCATCTACAGGGCAGATCACAATTCCAATCCTAGGGGATCAGATTCATTGTTCTAGCCTTCACAGATATCAAGCACACATGTGGTGTGTAGGTATACACCTATACATATAAAATTGAAATTAAAATGAAAAAAATTGATGTTCACACCTAGCAAAATCAATCAGACCAGTGTTTTGCTTTTTTGAGACAAGGTGTCTCTGTGTAGCCCTGGATGTTCTAGAACTTGCTATGTAGACCAGGCTGGCCTCGAACTCAGAGATCCTCCTGCCTCTGCTTCCCAAGTGCTTGGATTAAAGGTGTGCACCACTACTACCTGTTCCCCCACCATTTATTTATTTATTTTAAATAGAGTCTCCCTTTGTATCCCTGGCTGTTCTACAATTCACTAAGTAGATTAAATTGGCCTCAAACTCTCAGAGATCTGCCTGCCTTTGCTTCCTGGTTGCTAGCATTAAGTGCATGCACCACCATGCCTGACAAACTTAACCAATTAAGTTTTATTTTTAATTTAATTTTTATTTTTAGTGTGTGTGTGCCTGCACATACTCAGTGCATGCATGGCTCTGGAGATCAGAGGACAACTTACCGAAGTCTGCTCTCTCCTTCAACTGTGGTTTCCTGGGATCCATCGCAGGCTGTCAGGCCCGTGCAGCAAACATCCTTACCTGCTGAGCCATCTGGCTGGCACAAGCTTAAGTGTTCTAAGCATAGAGCTCTGCAGTGTCAAACACATCCATGATGCTGTGCAGCATCAGCACCATCTGTCCACTGGACGGACGCTTTGCTTACTGTCAAACCGAAGCTCTGTGTTCCTTGCTCACTGTGCATTGGGGATGCTCTGTTTTCCATTCTGTGTGCTGGTTACGCGGATCATTGGGAAAACAGAGGTCTACTTGAGCACCAGGGATGTACGCATTTTTCTGAAGACTTTTTTTTTTTTTGGTTTTTCGAGACAGGGTTTCTCTGTGGTTTTGGAGCCTGTCCTGGAACTAGCTCTTGTAGACCAGGCTGGTCTCGAACCTACAGAGATCCGCCTGCCTCTGCCTCCCAAGTGCTGGGATTAAAGGCGTGCGCCACCACCGCCCGGCCTGAAGACTTCTTATATGCACAAAATAGCTTACTTATGAAACAAAGCAGGGGCTGGTGTGATGGCTCAGTGGTTAAGAGAGCTGGCTGCTCTTCCAGAGGACCCAGGTTTGATCCCCAGCACCCACATAATGGCTCACAACTTTCTATATCTGCAGTTTTAGGGGATCCAACTCACTCTTCTGGTCTCTGCAGGCACAGATGTTCATGCAGATGTAACACCACACACATAAAATAAAAGTAAAGGAAAAAAAAGAATAGGGTATAGTGATCCGTATCTGAAATCTCCTTACTCACAAGACCAGGTAGGTGGATTGCTGGAAGTTTAAGGCCAGCATGGTCTGCATAGTGAGTTCAAGGCCAGCCATGGCAACATGGTAAGACTCTGAGAGCAAACTCTGAGGTTGTTCCAAGCAACAGAGAACAAAGAAGAGGAGGAGAAGAAGAAGAAAAATACCTTGTGTCTGAAAGATTTCTGCTTTTGTATAGTTCCGAACTACAGTGTGTGTTAGGGAGGAATTGGTGGGGTGTTGAGAGTTTGGGGGATACTTAGATCGAGCCCACAGAGGTGCCACCCTAAGGATAAAGTGACACACGTGCTATGCTCTTCAGGAGAATGGTCCAGGAGACAGCAAGATCAAAAACTTTTAGGCACAAAAGAGCTTGACCTATAGTAGGATCTGTGGGAAACGCAGCCGGGCTGGGGTGGAGTGAGTAGGGAATGAGGTTAGAGAGCCAGAATTGTAGAAACCAGTCAGAATCTTATCCCGAAATGAAACACAGCAAATCTTTCATTTTCATTTGTGAAATATCAGCCTGATAATTTGGAAGCATGGGATTGGACGGGCATAGGGACTTTTGTAATAGCCTAGAGTGGTGGTAACTGTGGGATGGACAAGGCTGTGGGGAAGGGGGTGGAAGGAGATGCTGCTGGAGGCATAACTGAGAGGCAGGCATAGGAATCAGCTGGTACCTCAGAGTGATGCTCACACAGCCTTGGCTCCAGTAACGGGGCAGTGGTGATACCATCCAGAGCAGAGTGTGAGGGACACCCGGATTGAGAGGCTGAGTTCTAAAGGGTCAGTTCAGGTGAGTTTCACTGAGTGTTTGTAATTCAATCTGCCCCTGTTCATCATGTCTGTATCCTGCAGCTCTGTGGGAAGGTACCCATGAGCCAGAGCTGCCCCAGGGAGCTCCAGAAGTCCCAGAGGCAAGTAAGGCTGAGGACCAGGTCTGAGGATGGCTGCCTCAGTTTCCCCAGTCTGGACAATAAGGATGCTATAGGGTATCCTCCTTGCTAGAGAAAAGAAAGTTTTTTTTTAAATTCTTATATTTATTTATCATGTATACAATATTCTGTGTGTATGTCTGCAGGCCAGAAGAGGGCACCAGACCTCATTACAGATGGTTGTGAGCCACCATGTGGTTGCTGGGAATTGAACTCAGGACCTTTGGAAGAACAGGCAATGCTCTTAACCACTGAGCCATCTCTCCAGCCCGAGAAAAGAAAGTTTTAAAAAAGATTTTATTTATTTTCCCCTTCCGTCAGATTTATTTTATTTGTGT